TCTTTCCTTCTTTTCTTTATTTCTTCCTTCCTTTCTTACATTTGATTGTGTTTTATTAGTACATGTTTGTAATTCCTGCAGTTTACAGTCACCTTGAGGAGTGGTTGCATGTACATATTGCAGCTTGTTTTACTTTGTTATCTTTGGACAGGAGTATTATGTCCTGTACCTCAAAGGTGGTATAACTCTGAGATAAGAGTAGTCTTTCCAAAAATGGTTAAGATTGCTTCTTCCGAAATTCTAAGAAGAAATAAACTTTGTGCTATGGCAGTATTTCCCATATGCTTCAGACAAACCCTTTTAATACATCTGCGTGCTCATACCAAGTACTTACTCATACATTATATTTAAGAGCTGTTTTGGGGGAGTGAGGGTTGAGACAGGGTCTCTCTATGCAGTCGGGCTGACTTTGAACTCTCTATGTAGCCCAGGCTATCCTGAAACTCTCTGCAAGCCTCCTGCCTCAGTCTCCTGAGTGCTGGGGTTTACAGGCATATGCCACCATGCCTGGCTATTTAAGAACATTTTATAAATAAACATTAATCAAATAGAATTCCTACTGCCTTTCATTATTTTCTGTCACTTTGGATATAGTTTTCAAAGGAGCACACTGTTTTTTCCCCTATAAATTAATAATTTAAAAAGCATGTTTATACATTATCATTCATGCATTCTCTGGTCTTCCATTGGTGATTAGTTTCACAGCTTGAAATTCACCTTCAATATTAAATAACATTCAGCTAAAGCCAAAGTTAGTGTTATTAATGCTAGTAAAATTTTGTATTTATAAAATTATATTAGATATGAGCTGTTTTCACTGTTTCGTATGAGTTATAGTGAGAGAAAAGTAACTATTACATTATATCGTTGGATATACTGATAAGCATTGCATCACCTAGCTGGAACTTCGATATAAGAATAGGGATCATTTGCCATATACAAGATCTCTTTCTAAAGCATTTCAGATTACTTAAATCTTCCTGTAACTATTGTTATCCCCATTTTATAGATGAGGCAAAGGTAAGTTAATGAACTTTCCTAACACTGAAGAAAAAGGCAAGGAGCTTCAATTCAAGGTCTAGCACCCCTCGCTCAAGAGTTTATACCTCAACCCCTATGCTGTGCTCCTTCTGGAAACAAAGGTCTACTTCTACTCATCCACCTGACTAGGGTTTGAATACTTTATGCAAGTTTGGGGACTCTTTGTGCCTGTTTTCAAGTATAAACTTTGCGGGATAACATTTGTAATTCTCATGAGTGAAATAAAATAATAAGAAAAACTTTTTCAGAAAGTGAAGTTGATAGTGTGTATTGGTTGAAACCATTTATTATTTACACTTTCCACAAAATATTATTTTGAATGTAGTACATGTTATTTTTAAAGAAAAATGTTATGCAAATTGGATTTGATATCACACGTTTCAACAGGATATTAATAAAGAGACAAAATACTTTATGAAAATATATAGGTTTTGTGCAATCAAGGATAAAAATTAAAGTTTCTGAAGCCACCTTGAATAAAAATAAATTTAAAATTCAGGTTTAACATGAAAAATTATATATCATATATCCTCACTCAAAAACTCATTTATAAATGTAAAGATAGAGTAGAAATAAAATGCAGGGAAATACCTTGACAAGAAAATTAAGGAAAGTAAAATGATGGATACTCTACTTCACAGTCACCTTGGTATACAGACATTTCTCATGTAAGACCTGTCATTTTTACAGATTCCCAACTCAGAGGTTATGTGGTAATTGATATGTAACTCATCTTATTAGAATTACAAAGAGTCAAATTTAAGTTTCCCTTTAACCTCTCCTGGTACTTTCCTTAAAATAAAGAATATCAAAATGCTGAAAGTGAGACAATAAAAACTTTAATAAAACTTCTTAATAAAAACTTCTTATGGAAGTTTCTTTTTCCTTCACAGGGAAAAAGCAAATTAATGAGGATTTGTCATTTAACTTTTCACACTTAAATTTCATTTAATACCTAAAAGAATTAGTATAGATTCTGAAGACACAACTGGCCAGCTTAGTAAAGTAGCTTTTCTTCCTAATTTGGACTGTCTTTTTTTTTCTCAAGAGAGAATTCTAAGACATCTATATATTAGGTTGTATTAATTTGTGTCTAACAGAATCTTCTTTCCTGTAAGGCTATGAAAATTTTCTATAAGACAAAAGGTCTGGAAAATTTTAAAAAGACATTAATTCTTAACAAATGAAGAATCATCATGTTGAAAGTTAAGTTACTCAACGGAAAGATGAGATTCCTGGAGTTTATAGCCAAAGCACATCTTTGAAGCATGTCAACACTGCTTCACCCAGTGTTGTTTATAAAACATTTTCACACTTTTCTAGCTACACAGTGCCAAAGCAGCTGCTTTGTAAATTTAATTTTAGAGAAAGATGAAAAAACTCTATGGAGCCTGGCAAGATATAAAATGATTTGCTTAGGAAACACAGACAAATGCCACAATAAGGCTAAAAATGATGAAAGACAATTTTTCTTCTAGGGTTATTGTTTCTTGGTAGGTCCATCTAGTTCCCAACTTTTCCATTATTTTCTTTCTCAAGATGAAGTATCCAGCACTAACCCAGCAATATTTTTTTAAAAAAAAGGCATTTTGGCTAGCAGGATGCTGGACTCAGGAGCCCTTCTGTCTTGCCTTATTGCTTGAGCCTGCTGTACTTTGAGACCCCGAGTGCTCTGGGGTGAAGAAAGAGGTTATTAGGTGAAGTAAAGCACGTGACTACCCATGTTCATTGATGGTTGGATATTTGTCTTGGTTTTAAAATGCTTCTGGCTTTCAAGATACACCTCATTCATATTTATTTGTTTATTTTGTCAGCAGGGAGCCATGGTGGTGGGCGAGGAAGATGCTTTTACTTTGAGATCACACATTATGTAGCCTGTTGCTGAGAAAGAACTTGCATGTTTTAATGCTTGTATATAAAATGTGATTGAAAGACTACATAGGTTTCACTAATTCTATATATTTCCATTTATTTTATCTCCTAAAGGAGTTGAGCTGTATTAAATTTAGGATACTTTTGACTTTCTGCTGCCAAACACAATAGGCTATGAAGTGACTCTGTAAATGAAATCCTTCCGTCTCCTTTTGTCACCACCCATGGTGACGTATTTGAACATGAGTCCATCTGGGTGACCTATCACACTTCAAACATTGCTATCTAAAATTTACATCCTAATACATCAATTCATAATACTGTATCACAGAACTGATCATCTCTATATTTTACTGCATTTTTAATCTTAAAGAAAGAAATGAACACTAAATGAATTACTGTAGTGTGGGGTCACTTCCACTCATCATGATATTTTATGAATCTAGCTGTAATTTTAATTGCATGATCCACATTTTTAAAAAATTAAGTACTGTTTATCTGTATATAACATTCTTTCTCCTCTCTCCCTACCCCACCCAACCTTGAATGTGTTATTCTTGTGCCTTTTACCAACTGATCACCTTTCTGCCAAGACCTCCTTTATTTATGCAATTATTTCTCTTAGTAAGTCCTTGAGGACAGTTGAAGTGGATCCAACAGCCATTTTTTCCAAGCTTCTATTGAGAGTGCAGTGTCTCCTCTTATCCTCAGGGAATACATTTTAAGATGCCCTCATTGTTGCCTGAAAATACGGATAGCACCAAAACCTATATATGCTCTTCCCCATGCGTATATACCTATCATACAGTTTAATTTATAGATTAGGCACAGTAAGAGATTAACTACAAGAATACAATAATGATGACAATATACTGTAATAAAATATATTTAACGTTTTAAAATTATTTATTTCTGGAATTTTCCACATAACATTTTGAAACCCCGGTTGACCATGGGTACATGCAAGTTCAAAAAATGAAACCATGGTTTTGGGAAAATAGATGTAGTTTATTTTGTTCTTAAGTATCTGTAAAGATGTGCTCCACTGTGAATTAAGCCCTTTTGGTGACAGAGTTGATGATGACAGAACCCCATCAGCCTTATCAGAAGTTCCCTGACCTCATTATTGCTAATGGATCCGGGGTAACACAGCCTGTTGTGAAATCTCATGTTCAGTTATGCAGGATAATGAGTGACTCAAAACTTAATATGTCTCAACTATCATCCTTATGATAGAGTTTATACAGCTTCTTTCAAGAGTAAAACTAGACTTTAAGTAGAATGGTTCACTTTTATGTCCAAACACAAGTTATCACCAATACTCAGACTGTCCTGGTTTTTAAATATCTAATTTGATTTTTAAAGAAGAGAAGATTGCTCTGTAACTTCTTATTTCACTGATCCCTTTTTATAGGAAAGTTAGGACAGGTTTATTCATTTTTAAGTGTTAATTTTGGAATTCTAAAAGCATGCAAATGGCATTTGTCTTTGGATTCACAAAAACTCTAGATATTCAGAGTTTGAATTATTTAAACTCCCACAACACATGCACTTTTGCTTTTCAAGCATGAGTTATAATTTAATTAAAAACTTCTGGTGCATTGCTAGCATTTTAAATATTAATATGTTCCATGGATCACTTTTGATTATCTACTGTCTTGAAATTCTTGAAGATGTCAGATTTTTAAGATTCCCAAAGTTGTACTTGGAATTGTCTGTCGAGGCAAAGGGGACTGTGATAATTACACACATCCATTAGGATCAGCAGAGGAGATAAACTTTGGGGAGGCTTAATGGGCATGTCTCAGTGACAGCTAGCAAAGAGCATTTGGCATGATTAAGGATGGATTTGAATGTGGTTGAAAATATACTCTCATTATGGACACCCAGTGGAAGTTGCACTACAAATGTTAAATTCCCCAGAAGAAGAGTGGCATGGCAGGGAAGCTTTGAAATCCACTGTGGCCGTCATCCAAATTATTCTCTTCCCTTTATGTCTTTCTGCTGTCAGAATCACTTTGTGATGCCCCGTTCAACTCCCTACATCTCTGAAAAGAGGCGACCTGTTGTTGCTCTCTGTGTTGCAGATTGTCCGGAGATACATTAAGGAGTGGCTTGAAAGAAAGAAGCCTCCTTTTGGTGCTATCAGCAGCAGTGTGCTCCTCATGATCATCTACACCACGTTCTGTGACACGTTCTCTAACCCTCACTTCGACCTGGATAAGTTCAGCCTCATCCTCATCCTATTCATAAGTAAGTGGGAGGTGGGGGTGCCCTGATTTCCCCTCAGTCTCCTCAGTAGCCATGTGAAGTACTCTGGGTGCTTCAGACACATTTCTAATATTAATTTCATTAGAAACTAATGCTTAGTTTATATTGATATCTATTTACACAGTGGCTTTATCCTGTGTATTTATTCTTCGAAAGGCGTCACTTAGGCACTTAGGATCTTAATCTACTTTGGGTTTGTTTTTTTATGTCCATTGCACCATTTTCTGATTCCCAATAGTTAATGTCGGATGAAAGAAGCCTTAGTGTCTGTCAAATGCAAAATTCCAATTGAGCACTCTGTCACCAATTTAGTTTAAATTTATACTGACCTAAATCCTCATTGTGATATAAAGGCAGGATTTATAATATATGATACCATTATTTTATATGTATAATAATTCAGTTACATTGGTTAAAATATGAACATTTATATCACATTTTCTAATAAAACATATCTAAGGCAATAGCATCTCATTTTAAGGAACAATAGGCTATAAAATGCCAGTAATTGCTAAGGCTCAAAAAACCAAAGACAGCTTTTAGGAATCTGTAAAAAAACAGCTTTTGTTATTAAGAATAAAGATGAGTTACTCCTAAGTATTACATGGTACTACATCTGTGCCATGTACACTATACATACTCATAGTATAAACCAGCTCTTTCTAAATTAAAAAATTAAATAACCAAATCTTAAGTCAAAAAGGGTTTGTAGATTCTCCCTCAGTAGAAGATGTCAGAGATTGTGTCTGGGGATATCGCCTTAAGAACGGTTTAGTTCTACTGGTTTAAATGATTCTGTCATTTAGCAGTGTGCGTTTGTTCAGGTTATTCATTTGTTTTTTTCTGACTTCCCTTAGATTTCAGATAAAACTGAGCATATCAGTAAATATGGTGTAGATATAATGCTTTTCTAGTGCTAATTTCATTCCATCTTTTTTTCCCTCTTTTCAGTAGTTTCTATTCAGCTGAGTTTTATGCTCTTAACCTTCATCTTTTCAACAAGGTAAGTGATTTGGTATCTTTGTTAATCTCCTACGTGAGGAGTTATGCTCCTTATTTGGTGACTGTGCTGCTATAATTTTTTTTTTCCTGCTGTCCCTATTCTTTCTCACTGTTTGCCACCCAAAACTGTAATCATCACCAGAGGATGTGTCCTTGGCCCTTGCCTCATCTGTCCACGTCATGTGCTTAGACAGCCTCCTCCATTCTTCTGGCGTGAGCTGGCCGCTTCGTACTGTTGGAGAGATTCAGGGTGATGTTTTCCTTACCACTTAGTTAATTTCATCTGACAGACTTAACAAGCTCTTAGCTCAAGATACTCAAAGTCAAATTAAAAGTTTTCGCCCAAAACTTGCTCTTCTTCTTTTGTTTCTTTACTTATTTTTTATGGAAGTACCATCCTCAGTGTTACTCAGGCTGGAATCTTTCACATCATTTTTTAAATGCCTTAACCCTAATTTTGTGATATTTGTAATATTTCTTCTTGCCCCTAGCCACTTCCCTAATTCAGATTCTTGGTACCTCACTGGTCCAGTCTATTGCAGTGTATATCTTACCAGTAACTCCATTTTTAGGCCCAACCTTTCCTCTCCATTTCACATTGTTTCCAGTGACTCCAAGTTCCGGTAATCATTCTCTTATCAGATATCCTCACTGGTTGACCATTGCCTGCAATGAAGTTAATTTCTTAAATGCAAGGCCCTCCTGTCTAAATGCAATCTGAGGTATCCCCACTAGCATTCATGCTGCCTAAGCATGAGGTTGAGGTAAAATCATTGCTGTTCCCCGAAAGAACCCCTTTCCTTCCCTCGCTTAGGCTACCCGCATTGGTCTTCATGTCTTAGTTTCACTTGCCTGTTGTTAAAGGTTTGCCTTAAATGCAACTTCTTCTGTTGGTATTATTTATATAATGGATTTTTTTTTTTTGAGACAGGGTCTCACTATGCAGTGCAGGCCAACCTTAAACTCACTGTGTAGCCCAGGCTGACCTCGAACTCACTGCAATCCTCCTGCCTCTTCTTCCCAACTGCTAGATTAGAGGCATGTGGCATCATGCATGGCCTCAATAGATATTATTTAAGCCATTGGTATGATTTAATGGGACAATAGTAAAGGAAGATTAAAAGTAACACTAGTCACTGGTCAGGTGGGCTTGAGCCAGACTGACTGAAAGACCAGTGAGTTACCAGAACGTAACAGCTTAGGCTATTGAGGAGGCTTTTTGAAATCTTCTTCAAAAAGCAACTTCTTCTGTTGGTATTATTTGGGCCTGGGAAATCTGGGCCTGGGAAGATAGGCTCAGGTGTCATGTTAGCCCTTGGGCCCTCATAGCACTTAGTATAGCACTAGGCTGATTGTAAACAGTCAATAAAAACGTACTGATAGATGTCATTTGAAGCATTTTCCCAAGCTTAGGGTTTTGATTTATGAAGGAAAAATAAAACCTAGAGATATTGAGTCACAGAGAAAATATGACTCACTTGGGTTAGTCTGAAAGAAAGATCTATTTTAAAGTTCTTTTGGTGAATAGCTTGTCATGTCATCTTCGAAAAGATGTTTGCCTGTCCGTGACTGTTTGTTTACTAGTCCTTTTGGTGGAGGTAGTAATCAGGCCTGTTCATCCTGTCATATAAGTGGGACGCAGTGAGCATCCTATAAAATTAACTGAAAAATTCCTTGAAAAGATGCAGTGCCAATCAGAAAGTCCTGGGGTTGCCAAAGGAAGACAGTGGGCAAAGGATGTCACAACCAGTTGACTTAAAATTAACAGTTTTCAGCACGCAGTAGACTGCTCTTTCCTAGTACCCTTGGTTTGGAGATCTTCCTTTGCCACCTGTTTTACCTTCCCTGAAATTCTGTTATGCTTTGAACTTCCTTGACCCGCTGTCAGTCAACACATTCTTTATTAAACCATAGACTATGGAACAATGATAATCAAGTTCCAAGGTAATAGTCTCAAAGTGAGCCACTAAAACTTTTCAGAGGGACAAAGTTTAGAAGATGGCTTTCATCTGTTTTATTGCTGAGAGGCCTCATAGCTGCTGAAAGTTATTGGAAGAACGAAAGATACCTAGGAACGGTCCACATAGTATTTCCTGTGAGTGTGATGGCAAGACTATGATATTTGGCCTCTTTGCTGCTATTTTACTGATAAGGACCCAAACTTACGGTAGTTTAGTTTACTAACTTGCCTAAAATCAGATTGTAGTAGTTTAATAACGTAACTAAAATCAGATAGTATACTTAGGACTGAAATCCATTTCCATTTGACATTTCCAAAAGTATTTCTCTATGCTTTGTCCATTGCTCTAGATTATTTTAATTACTTTTAAAATTCATAATACTTGTTATAGTTAGAGAATTTCACTGAAAGAGTTGAGCTGAATTCTAAACAGTTTCATCAAAGGCTCCAAGAATTTGAACTAGGACTCATTGATTTTACTCTGTTGAATTCCATTTTCTTTTCCTAGCTTTGGTTCTTTCCTACCTGAAGTTGGTGAAAGTGACATGCCCTATATGTTTTCATTTTTTTCCCTAAGCAATAAATCTAATATATCTAAACCCAATTTAGGGTGTCAAATGGAAAAAAAAAAAGAATCTCAGCATGGAAATTGACCTGTTACGCAAGGGGCTATTGTGTTCCAATAATGGAAGGAGGGTTCAGCTTTCTTGCTACATTACGCTTCCCTTAGCATTTCTTAGATGTACTGTCCTGTTGTGCTGAGTATTTAAAGTAAATTTAAGAGTCATTTATCTGTCTACAAAACTGTCAGGGTGCAAAATTCCAAAGCTGGAATCAGAAAGACATGGGTTTCAGCTCTATTTAATAACTTTATGACTTTTGTCAGTTTCCTTACTTGTAAAATTGAGACAGTAATAGAACCTATATCATAGGAACATGGAAGAATTAAATAATATGCACATAAAGCCCTCAGCATTATGCATAAATATATGTATGTACATATGTGCTGAATAAATGTTAGCTACCTTAGGATGCTTATTATTATATTAAAGTAGGTTGTATTATATCAAAAACTAACAAGAAAAGAAAGGGAATTAGCTAGTCTAACTTTGTAATACAATCTGTGTCAAGAGTTTCTAGGAAATAAGTTCATCAAACCAAGTCAACTATCCATAGTGACCTACAGTTACGGCAATTTGGGGAAATAGTCAAAGTTAAAAAAAAATGTTGAAAAAAATTAGAAAAAGCACAAATTGGAACTTTTTCAAAAAATATGTAAAAGACAGTTTGGTAGGTTGATAACTAGAGTAAGAGAAGCATGCACTAAAGTGACAAAAGAACCCCTATGAAAAGATAAGGAGGAAGACAAATATTCAAGTAGTTGTGTTGCTCCTATAGCCCAGTGTCTCGGTGGGCCCCTCGCCACAGCCCTGGGAGAAGGAAGGTGGGCAGAAGGAGGCGGAAGGAGGAAGGGAAGGAGGGAAAGCACATCAGACAGACGTTCTCGGTGGCCAGTCTCTACCATTTCCAGATAAGGCAGCTAAGCATGGCAGCCCTTGGTAACCTGCTTTGTGGCACACGGCTTAACGACTGATGAGGTTTCCTCCAAAAATGAGCAAAGACAAAACAACAGTGCAGAGGTTAACAAAGAAAAGTATCTCACATGTAAGTTTCTTCCTCTAAAAACAACGGGTTTAGAAAGAACTCCCTCCGAGGGCCTTTCCTGTTCTACATTTTGTGATTCCACTAGTAAAACCTGACATGTTTTCCTCTGTGAGTACCACAGAGGAAGGCAAAATAAATATTATGTGGAGAACACTGATTGAAAGCTTTGTCAGAGAGAATAAAAAGACCACTTGGGAAGAAAAGGAAATAAACATCTCCAGGGAAGCCAAAGTGATCAAAAGAATTATAAAAACAGGATAAAAAGAAAATCAGTATTAAAAAGAGATAAGGTAGAGTTAGAAAATAAATAATAATGCGATTCCTTTCAAGAACATGAGCAGACACAATAGAGATGTTCATCACTAAAACTAATTGGAGTTGTCACTGCTTAAATATCACGTTCAGGACACCGACTTCCTGTACACTGTCTTGGTCTTGTGCCGTGAAGCCACCCTCAACAGTGACAGCTGAGAGCAGGTTGCTGACCGAGGTAGCTGCTCTCACCCGTTAAATTATGTTGTAATATTTAGTGTTTTTTTCTTTTTGTTTTTTTATATATTCTTTCTGAGAAGGCAAACTGGTCTCCAAAGTTTGGGGCAACCTACTTCCTTGCTGTGTGACATTAAGGAAGCCACTTATGCTCTCTGTGCTTCACATTCCCCTTGTGGAAAAAGCAGAACAGTAATGCCATCTGCCTTCTACGGCTGTGCTGAGAAGGAGAAGGAGGCACCTAGAAGAGTGTTCAGCTGTGTTCACTGCTGTGGCCGCTCACTGTCGTCATGAGTGGAGGGCTACATGGGCATCTGCTCCGTGAACTTTCCCATTGAGACAGACTATGAGGGGGCTGGGGATATAGCTCAGTGGCATAAGTGCCTGCCTGGCAAGCACAAGGTCCTGAGTTCGATTCCTGGTACCGAAAAAAAAAAAGAGACTGTGAGAGTGTGATATGGACGGTTGCTGTATGGCTAGAGTTGAAGTTCGCCCTCTTGAAGAAGGAAATGGCATTGACTGTAAACATTCCCTACTGTTGGGATCCTCCCTTCCACACTGTGGAGTTGCATCAGCAGAACCGTAGAAAATGTTCCCCTTTACCCAAGTCAGAAGTGTCCCCACCCGAGTGGGCCTAGCTTCAGTACCCTTGCATGGAACAGGACAAGCAAGCTAACCCTGTCAGTAGCTTCTTCACCCACATTCTCAGTGCTGCCCTAGTGAGTGACGGCAAGCCCCAGAACCGTGAAATCAGAGTGCCACTGACCAGAGAGACTTGGACACACTAGAAATGTTCAGAAACCTGGACAAGAGCAAGTTCAGGTAGAACCAAGTTCTCTAGAGGAGAATACTGCCAGACTCTCCAGGAAGAAAACCGAACTGCATGAGTCCAGATGTGACCAGGACTGGTTATGACCAAAGGCAGCAAAAGACTGAAGAGGCCTCTAGTGTTACTGATGCCACAGGCTTTTCTGGGGATCACCCCAACTCATTTGCACATCTGCGCTGTGTCCTGTAGTCACAGTGAGCCTCCAGACCCGCACAATTCACTGGGAATTGACTGTCATAGTCCCCGTTTCCAACTTTTCTAATTTCTTCAGTTCCCAGGCCTCAGTATCACTCAACTCTATAGATAAGTACAATGCCTTACACTTTACAACCGAAGTACAACCTTTGACTGAAGTTGCCTCTGCTTTGCCATTCTCTACCTAGAAAAACGTCCATATTTCCCACCTATTGTGTCTGCTTTTGCTTCAAGCTCAGAGATTGTGGGGAACTTCCCTCTGCAGTTCACCCTTCAGTCACATCTTGGGCCTCTCTGGACACCTGGGTCACTGGTTGTTCATGTCACCTGTGTCTTCGCTCTTCGTAATCATGTTCAGATCTCCTGTGAGCCTTTTCTTCTCTCCACCAGACTTACAGAAAACTCAGTCCCCTCTCACTACCACACACCCAGCATTCTCCCCTTGGCCTCCTCCCGAGTCCCCCTGGGCTCCCTCTTCCATTCTCTCTTCCCTTTAAAGCCATCATGCTCCTCAGTCTTGTGTTCCCAGTTTCCAGCGTCATTAATTCCTCCTCTTTCCAAACAATAACAAAAATTAAAATATCAACCAGCGCGCATCCTTTATAACAGGCCACATTCTTAGCAGATATCTGCGTTCATCTTCACAATGACCCTAACGAGCAGGCAGTATTAGCCCCCTTTATATATACAGGCAAAAGGAAGATCTAGATAGAAAGTCAAGTGTGCCTTTCCCCAGAGCCTTACTGTTGGAGAAAACCTTGCATACAGTTGAACAGTTGACAAGATCTGTGTATTCTAACTTCGTGTGGCTTATTCCCATCTCCGGCACGTCTTCAGGCCCTTCTAGCTCCCTGCTTCCTGACTGGCCTTGCGTCAGCTTTATGCTGGGCTCTGTAGTTACTTCTGAAGCACAGGTTTGATTGTGTCACTCCATTGTCCCAAGTCCTTCATCAGTTTCCCTTAGCCCAGCTTGCCAGGTCCACTCTCCTGGTCACAAGCCAGTGTCCCTGCACACAAATCAGCCGGAAAAGCAGCTCTTTGCCGGAGGATGCTGCACCCCAACCCCAAACTGCAGTTTCTCTTCCCTTCCCTCCTGGCAGGCTCTGTGTGCGCCATCATCATCTGCCACACTAGAGGTGATCCTCCTCCAGTGGCAGATCTCTCTTTGTCTCTGTCTCTGACAGAGGTCTCTCTCTGTCTCTGTCTCCCTGTCTCTCTCTCTCTTTTTTTCTTTTTTTTTCTCCCATTCCCTCCTCTCTCTCTCTCTCTTTTGTGTCTCTTCCCCCCCTTTTTCCTTTGCCTTTTTTTTTATGCAGAGCATTTATCAGCACTCCTTTCTCTGCTCCCAGCCCCTGTATGTGCAGAGCTCCCTCCCTCACAGGCCTACCATGAAGAAAAAGAGATAGAGATGTCAATCATGCAGTGCAGTGTTTAAATAGCAAAAGTAACATCCCAGTGTACATCTGAGAATCAGCTGTAGAAACCCTAAAGCAGTCTCGTTACACTCAAGTGACACAGGTCTGTGGAGGGTCCTCACCTGAGGTGAGATACCAGAGATTCAGCTGGTATCAGGAAAGAGCTGGAAGGAAGGTGGTTGGGAAGCGGAAATGTGTGTCTTTGCAGAGTAAGGAGAGCAAGGGCTGTTTAAATACCCTCCTGATACCTGCACATAGTACGAGGGGGAAGAGAGGGTCCTTCTTCCCTCCAGTGAGAAGCCAACAAAGAAAACAGGATATGGGATCTATTTCGGGCCTTTCCTAAATAAGGATTAAAACTTATGGCAACAAAAGTCGTGCATGGTGATGAGGTTTCTCAGAGAAATGTGGACTCTCAGCAGAGCATCGTGTTTCTCTGAGCTGTTTTGTCAGAGATGAGGACAGAGAATGAATACACTCACCGTACCATCAAAGCCTGGCTCTGCAGAAAGGAATAGTTTCTGAAATATAAGGGCACAATAGTAATAATTACTCTCCTTTTGGCTGGTGATTCTCTAAACCTTTATAATCTAGCAGAGAAAATGACATTACAGTATCCAGCCAACAGTGCTGAGCCTCCATAATATTTAATCAATTTTGATGAAGTGAGTTTTTTTTCCTGTTTAACCTGTTATAAAACAACAGTAGGACTTTGAAGGTACGAGCACAAGCAAGGGAGCTAGGCTCGACTTGAATCCTGTGTGCCTTAGTATTCTCCTCTGTAAATAGAGTATTGTTTCACCTACTTTTGGGACTTGACCTTTGGGAACTGCCTAATACCTCAAAGACCTGCTCAAAAAAATGATTATTTCTGTTTTTCTGCTACAACATCCTGTCAATTGTCTGATTGCTGCCATAAGAAAGTGTTGTTATTCAGAGATTTTTGGAAATAAATTAATTCTTTCAATCTGATGGGTAATGTCAGGTGATAACCTAGAGACTTCACTGAAGAAAGCTTGTTGCTGCATTATTTTCTCAAAGTCCTGCACCACCACGCACTGGTTATACATGTGAGCCTAGAAGCCCCGCCCCCCAACACACTTTTTCAATGATTCTCCTTCCCATGGATGATTGGATCAGAAATGCTCTCTACGAAGAAATTCAGACTTCTATACACTTTGGCCTAGAATTACTTCTATCACCAGAATTGATCAAGGGGATGTTAATGTAAGACAAATGTAATTTAGGGTGTGTTAAATAGACTTTTTGACAAGTATTTCTTTTTTAAAAAATGTTTTTTGTTTCATTTTGTTTTGTTTGTTTGGCCCACAGGAATAACTCGGGGTTTACACCAGCAGACACAGTGGCTATCATCTTCTGCTCTACACACAAATCCCTCACACTGGGTAAGTGATTCACACAATTAAAGACTGCGTATTACCCACCTAGAGTCACATTTTAAGATTCTGAAACTCTGTTCCCTGCCATGGGGTATTGTGCATTCTGTCAGATAAAGAATGACAGCAAAGTGAAGGTGGGTCATGGCTTTGGCATAATTATTTGATCAAACCAACTTCTGAGTGGCCAAATTTAATAGTGTTGGATTTTGTTTAATTTATAATCATATTTTCAATTTTTATAAAAAACAAGACTGCAGAATTATTAGAACCAGGTGGGGTGGGGATGTCAGTGGGAAGACAGCTCCTGAAAACTTTGCTTTGGAATGTCCTAGAATCACCCACAGAGAGCCTCACTTCCTTTCTGGCTGCTCAAAGCAAGGTGAAAATAATTTTACCCTAATTGGATATTGATGTTAATTTGAAATTCATTTTCAAATGTTATGTGTTCTAATAAAAAACACATAGTATAGTTATCATTAATGCAGTTGGATTAACAGTACAAGTGAAATAAACATTTATTTAATGGACAAAAATAGTTTAAGAGCAAAAGTGTTGTTTTCTACTTTGCTTTATCTAATTTAGTGCCATTATTCCAATAACCTCTTAGGCATCCAGAATCTATGTTTTTACTCGCTAAAAGTCATTAAGTAATCAGCAACTTTATTAAAATACTCATCATTCACAAAGTCCTTGTGGTAGTAGGCGTGTTGTGGCAAAAACTCCTGTTAACAATCCCTCCATATTTTGGCGCACACTTAAAAGAATGAAGAATCATGACATTTCTCTTAGTTTGGTCAGATTAAAGAAATTCTACCTAGAAATTTAAGAAAAAAGAAATTTCACAATTGTTTTACTAATTCTAAACATATTTCTCTGATAGAGTCTTAGTCATCCCAAGTTTGCAAAGTGATTTAGAAATTGGACAAGCTCTTGAAGGAGCAGTTGCTGTTTGCTATCTAGGGCTTCAGATTATTCAAATAAATGAACAGTGTGTTTGTTTGGCTTTTCTTCGTAATCATCAAGTTAAAGTTGAAGGAGCTTTGAAAGCCATACTCCAATCCTGATTTTCAGTTAACTTCCTGGATCTTAGCTTTTATGTGTGTCAGATTACTTTGTAAGTATCATTAAAACTAAAGAAAAACATTGTTAAGCATCTAGCACTTGGCAATTAATAGATAGGCAATTCATAACAGAATGCGTGTAGTAATTGTACTGTGCATAGATTGCTGTGAACTAAATGAGCTATCCCCTTAAAGAGCTTGCTGTGCTTCCTGGCATTTGGTGGGCCTCGATGAACAGTAGCTAGTATTCGTTATGAACTGTTAACTGTTACCGCTTCTAGAGTTCCAGTTCCCTGACTTCTGTCTTGTAGATTTTTATGTAACAAATGTGGTTTAGTTGTTGACCCCAAAGAACCCATCTCCATACTTCTTTTTCATATGTTGTTGTGGATACCATCTGTGGTGTTCCAGGGCTTCTAAAAACTACAGCACTTACACAAAGGTAGGGAGTCTACGGGCAGACGTACAGAGTGCAGACCTGAGGTCCTTACGTCGCAGTGAACCCTGCCTGCCCCAGATACATTTCTGCATTTCTACAGTGGGCTGCTGAGCCTGACCCCCTCAACGAGATTTGCTTTTGACAGGAAAACCAAACTGGACAATTTTGTTTCTCCAAGATGTTCTCGGTGCTAAAGCTGGCTGTGTGGAACAGAGTGTGAGAAGCAGTCACACTGCAGTGTGATCAGTATTCTTTTTTTTCTGTATAAGTAAAATGCCTCCGTATTCAACCCTTTTTCTCTTTTCTTGCATGTCATTTTGCTTAATCTCAAGGTCATACTCCTTTGTCCTTTAAACATTCTGAGAGCTAACTTTTAAACCAGCAGATGGGTGCTCAGAAGAAAGAAATAGTTGTTTTGCTGGAAAAGGGGTTGGATTTTTGTTTGCTTTTGTAGTGTCCACTCATGAAATAGATACTGCAGTCCACCAATATGGTATTCCAGTAAGATGTTAGTGTGGTGTCTCTTAACCACGTAGTAGAAATCCTTAGCTACTCGTAACATGGTAGGCTTAAATTCTCTTGGAACTTTAAGATTTAAATACTTGATTTGGCCTATTTCTTTATCTGTAAGTTTAGAAAATTTTATCTTCAACCTTAATATCCTGCCATTTCTTAGTCACGTCTGTCTTCTCTTCTGTTAGCATTTTTGAAAATGGCCTCTTTGCTGCTTCCATGGGTGAGAGAGATCACCCTTCCAGATACACCAAGGGGCATTTGGACATGACTGCCGAATAGGCTTGTTAAGCTCTATAAATTTACTGTGTGCATTTTCCCAAGATCCAGTGCATATTTCCTTTCACTGCAAACCTGATGACACTAGTATAGAGGATCTGCCTTTTGGTGACCTGAGCTACAGGCTAATCATTATGCTAGTGGAAGTTCTTATCTGAATGGAGTTGGAAGAATACCGCGTTCAGTGTGAAAAATTCATATTCCAAAAAATAGGATGAAATACCACGTAGAGAATAATTTCTTTCACATCTCACATAAAAATGAGATACAACAGATTATAATGTAACTGTTTGGCACTTTAAAAATATCTTTCCCCTTTGTAATCACTGTCATATTTCTTCTAGTAATTTTACGTATATATGTACACATAGAGACATGCATATATTTTAGATAGAATACATTAAGTGAAGCTTATAAATTGCTATTTATTATTATACCCACTATTTGTATTTAAGAATAAATGTCTGTAGTGCAGGTGTTATCCATGTAACTAATGAACCAAAGATGAGAACTCTTGCTTAAGAAGCTTCCAGAAAATTCTCTCAGTGTATAACTTTGGTTTATTTTACTGTTTCTGCTTTGCCCTGTCTCAGTCCCTTCCAAGAACTTGCATCTACACACATGCTGAATTTGATTCATTGCTTTTATTAGTGCATTTGCCATTGATTGATTAGTTCTTTGTATTAGTACTTTTTCTATTGATTGATTGCAGATGAAGTGACTATTTGACCTTTAATTATGAGGCTTCCTATTGAAAATGACATTGAGCTATGGCTCCACATAATCCATCTGGAAAGCCTGACATGATGCCATTCCCTGGAGTTCATTCAGTAAGAAAGACGAGGCTTGAAGGAAGCACAGGGCTATCACTGTGTTCATCTAAAACAATACAACAGGGCTCATGTGCTGCACTCCTATAGTTCAAGTCAGTGTTAGAGGCAATTTTATATTTTGTTCAGACAGTATCCCTTGCTGTGGGTTGCCATAGAAGCCATGAATTCTCCCAGATTATTTTGTATTTTAGTGGCAATACTTGTGTAATAATGAGAAGATATTTTACATAGCAGAGATTGAAGGACAGCTTGTATCCTAATTACAAATGTCTCGGTGCACAGTCAATAGATTTCGTCAAGAACAAAACCTGATCCAAGATATACCGTGGACTTGATCTTTTTCTCTTCAAATCACTTTGCCTATCTGGAATTTCAATATAGGGAGAAAACTTTCTCAATATATTTAGAAAGATAATGGTTCAGGATATTTGAAGTCCTTAAACCAAGTACATATTTGTGTTTGTAATGGTGTTAAGTACCAGAATGTAAGTACATAATCTCAGTGCGTGACAAATGTGTCCAGTAATGATAATCCCAAGTTTTCTTACTTAGAAAAGCATTTCTTTTTTTAATTGGTATATGTTTGCGATATATAATGAATATATTCATCGTGGAGTACTGGCTCATAAATGTACTGCATGTTGATCAAGTGCATTCTATTTAAATTTTAAATCCAGTGTCACAATCAGTGCTTACTAAAAGTTCAGCATATTTTGCCCTTTACAGACACTTGTGTAAAAGCCCAGCCAAAGCATTTATTCTTCACATTGTTCATGCTTTATTATGGTTCTGTGGTCACAGCTGAACTGTGATAAGCAACTATGCCTTGAGCTAAAGTACCTTTTGGGTAGACAAAGGATTCAGGAAAGAGAATGATACTTGATTCTGGTCTGGGTTCAAATTCCAATTATTTCACTGAAAACTGGAAGAAATCAGTTAACCACTGTAGGTCTGGTGTCCCCATCAGTACAGTCAGACGCTGCACAACTAATAACTTGAGATTTCTTCCAGTTTTAAGTCCCTGTGAACCCATGACTAATATTTCTGCCGTATGAGATAATTGTTTCTTTACTGTGTATGCAAAAAAAGGTGTTCTTGAAAGGAATATTTAAATTGAGACTTCGGCACCAGGAACAGCCAGTTGCTCTAATAGAAATTCTCACTGGAGTGTTCAGCTACTGTTCCGTCAGAAAGGAAATTCTCCATGGGCAGTACAACAAATACTTCTGTTAGCCATCCCTCTGTCAGCTAGAGATTTACTGGTCAGCATAATGATTTTAGAAATAGGCTTCGATTGGTGAAATTACTGATGTGTTACTTTACATGGTAAATGTCATAAATGGTTCTCACTGACACTCGGACTGCCTAGAAACTTTGGTAATACTTCCACTTGCTGAAAGCATCTAGCAAATTAGAAGCATGCATATAAAATCCTCAGGAATGTGGTGGGGCTTGATCCCTACCAGTTCTGTGTCCATCCAGGGTAAGAAGGAGCGGTGGCTGCCTGAGCTGACTGCAAGCAGCTCCAGTTGTCCCAGAATGTGGCTGTCTATGGGCCTTAGGAGCCCCATTTCAGGTGGGAAGGGACATGAAACAGGTGCTAGAGAACCCTGAAAGGACAGAGCTGGGGCTGCCAGCTTTCAGGATAGGCTGCACTGACCACTTTTGGGCATGACTGCTGATATATCTTGAGTTAAATGGTCCCTGGATGGGGGCAACTTCCTTTCCATAAAGCCTTCTGGCTGGGTTGTGGAGCCAGCCTTCACCTACCTTAAACTTCTTTTGGCCATGGTACATTTTCTGCCTGGAAGGATCTGGGAGTTACGCACCAGCTCATATCACTCCTGCAGTCACCTCAGATAAGGAAAGTGAGGTTCAGAA